AACGGATTTAACATATATCTTACCATGTTCCACCGAACATGGTAAGATATATGTTAATTATAATTCTAGTACTTGGAACTCATAATATCTTCTGATTAATTGCGGGAACCAAGACAGTTATTCATGTCCCTGGCATGCGCCGGACTTCAGTGTTCCGGTGTTTTCATGGTTGTATCTACTGTAGATCTTGGCTTGTAGGAGTTTCAGCGGTTTTGGGAAGGAGCGGCAGGCTCGTCCCTTAAAAAAAAAACTCCTGGCCGGCCGAGTCACTGCCGCAATACCTAATTGCTTACCAGGTCAGGTAACCCATCTGCTGATTTGCTATATTCCGTAAAAAAGGATACGTTGGTTACTCCCTACTCTTCCTGCGGATTTCTTAAAAGCAGACTGACGAACTACATATAATATTACACAGATATCTACCGGGCAGCAGCGTTCTCTCATAAACCCAATCCTTTAGAACTGGGATCTGTAATCCGCCCGCAAAATGTGTACAATATTAGTAAACGTCGCTTTTGGAGAGGAGGCCCATAGGATTCATAATAATACTTGGAAGTTCCTTAAAGTAGGTTATGATTTCAGTACTTACCTAAAATTTATTTCGTTTTCTTGCTTCATATTTAAAGCAAAATTAATGTTCGAATTTTCTTTTAATGTTAGAGCTCTGCTTTGATTCCACTCTTTAGCAGTCAAACAAGTACATCTTTAGAGTTCCAATAAGAGAAAATATCAGTGATTTGTCGTTCCAGACAAGAGAGTACAGCGATGTTCTTATCTAAGGACGGTTTGCCAGTACACTACAGGCCGCTGTCCTACGTCACCCATCCAGAGTACGACACCGTTGTGTACAGCTCTATTGCCGTCATCAAACTCGCTGTGCCAAACGATAGTAAGCTACTTGTTACCACTTCTATTTAACAGACTTCAAAAAAGGAGGTCCTTAATTACCTCGACCGTATTGTATATTAGTGCCACATATCTCCTGCATTTATAAATAACACGATTTCAAATAGTATTTTCGCTCACAAGAGAGTAGTGTATGAGTTGTTTAATTGTTTGTTAGTTTGATCGCGCTCATCTCGGGAGCTACTGGTCCGATTTGAAATATTCTTTTTGTGTTGGATAGCTCATTTATCGAGGTAGGCTATATGCTATAACACATCACGCTGCGGTCAAAAGGCGCCGAGCAGAGCGGGTGAAACCACGCGGAAGTAACTAGTCTCCTATAAATTCGAATGTTGGCGTTTACGCCTTCAGCCCATTATATATAAAAAAAAGCCCCAAAGTATAGACATTAATGTGTACATTCAGCCTACACTACTAAACACAATATTCATACACTGTTGTGGACAGGTCCGCTGATTCCAATATGCTTGTCGAACATGATGTACGACAGCGATCAACTTTACCTCTTCGGATATACGGACGGTAAAACATTTTTTGATGTTATATAATATATTATTTACGTACGTGTATGTATTATCATCAGTGAGCGATGTAAATGTTAATTCCCACAAGTGAGTCAGGTACCAAGGTGGTATTTGGACAGTAACAGACTGAGAGTCCCCTTCGTTCTCCTCAGCCGGGTGAATACATGACGATTGTCCACAGGAGACTTTCAAAATCAAAAAGACTCGTTAACTGGTCCTTCAGATATTTTCCTAGCCCAAAATCTATGCTGAAAAGTCAAATTAAAAACTCCTTGCTCTTGATTCTATCTTCCGAAGCTTGTCGTACATTGTTACAGCCAACGACAAATTGGAGAAAACGGTTTACAAGATCCAATCGATAGAGAACCAGCAATGCGACCAGTTCTATACGAAAGAGGGCGTGAGTAGTACATCGTATTAGTCATTTGTCATAATAAATTCTTTATTGTATAATATGGCCACCCACATTAAGCAGTTTACATTTGTATGGGGTACTACGGAAGTACTACGTAATTTGATTGAAAAGTTCGCGGCTTCAGCAAGAAAACAATATAAAATATAAACAAAAGTAATTTCATTTTTTCACGTAATCTCTATTGAACTCTATGCACTTCTTCCATCTGATTCCCAACGCCTGTATGCCGTTCATAAAAAATGTTCCTTCAAGGCTTTCAAAAAAGTCACCCACCGCAGCTTCGACCTCCGTGTTTGCTGAAAAGTTTTGATCTCTAAGATGTTTTTTTAGATTTGGGAATAGATGCAAGCCTGAAGGTGCCAAATCAGGGGAATAGGCGGGTTGAGGCAGTAATTCAAAGCCACAATCACGAATTTGAGCCATAGATTCAACAGATGTGTGAACGCGTGCGTTATCCTGATGGAACAGCACTTTCTTGCTGAGTAATCCTCGCCTTTTCTCTTTGAATGTTTCACGCAAGCGACGTAAGAGCGTACAGGAATAAGCCGACGTTATAGAGGTAGTTTCACCTCTATAACGTCGGCTTATTCCTGTACCTTTTGCAGGGTAGTCCACCATGATGACACCCATGGCATCCCAAAAAACTGACGCCATCACCTCACCAGCTGACAAAACCGTTTTGGTTTTTTTGTGGTCGGTTCATCAGGTTTTTTCCACTGCTTGGATTGCTGCTTTGACTCTGGGGTGTAGTAGTGTACCCAAGTTTAATCTATTGTTATAAATCTGGCTAAAGTATCTTGTGAATCAGCCATTTTCTCGAATGTTATTATCCTCTATTGGAGTTAGTTTGTTTTAACAAGTATTTAATGACCGCACGTTGCTCAATTTTCTCCATTCTTTAAAAACGTTGCACAAAAGCTCACAAAATTCAGTCTAATTTATTTAAATACAGTTAATGTTGTTGCGATAAATTTTGACGATTTGACAACCAGAGAGTAAACAAATTTTAAAATATTTGAGTTAGGCCGCGAACTTTTCAATCCACTTCATCATCTGATGGAAAATAAATCAGTGCCGCCCAAGGACACCCGTAACACCAGATAAGTCACAAGTTCGTCGCTTCTGTGAGTGAAGGGATTGGGCTTGCAGTACACTTACTTCCGAAATACATCGCAAGCGTTGTCAAGGCCACGACGCTGTGGTGTCAAGCATGGCTTTGAAATACGAATTATTAGTGTGCTACATCTTGTCATGATTTAACCTTTTGGAAAGTGGGTAGTACTTACTAGTACTACCCACTTTCCAAAAGGTTAAATCACCTATGTGCTCATAGGTGATTTATACATACACAAGCCTATGTACTCATAGGCTAATAAGTATGTACGTACAGCAAGTTCTTTTAGCTTTCTATTTTTTTGATGTTACTGAAATGAATGCCACTCAATGTACCTATATGGATTTAAAATAAATGTCTAGTTTGAGCTGTAACTTGACTGACTTCCAGCTAGTAGACCAGCGGCGCAAGCCTCAGTCGTACGTGTGCGGAGTACAGCAGCACAATAGCGCGCCCTGCATCTGGGAGAACGGATACGTACTGGCCTCCAACACCACTGGCTGGTTCACATTCGTACGTACCACAAACATTCTTCATTGAGCTAAGCTTTCCACTTCATTCTGCCGCATGCCGTACCATAAAAGGCGATGTCATTTTTCATCAGTCACTACGAATTCACTCACGCCCTACGACACAAGAGAAAATGCTAGTGTGTAGTCGTTTCTTTGACAAATATTTGCAAGAAATAAGTCCAATTAATGAAATTTAGTTTATTTATTCCATTGCGGCGCTAGTAGTCACCAAACCAAATATGGTGTCAAACAGTTCGAGCATACGACACTGATATTCTTTTCGATTTTCGAAAATTCGATTAAATTTACTTTAACGTACATTTTTCGTAAGAAAACAGTGTAACAGTATGGATTTACCTATTATTGTTTTAAGTTGCGAACTCGTGATCATCGCTTAAGATACGTTAGGTACATCGACTATATATCCCATTTAACAACTTGAGTCTTGACTAACATTGTGATCGGTATTTTAATCAAGACGTTTGACATTGAATTATTGTCCTTTAGTGATGTAGGTAACGAATGTCATTTTTTGAACATTCGTGTGTGCGAATATTAATTTTTTTTACGGCAGTCTCGTTCAAAGACCTGCGTTCCGATTGTATTTTGGACCAACGTTAGGCACTAAAACTACTTGTATCACCGATAAAAAGTTATCTAGAAAATTGTAAAACGTTTACTACGAATTTAATTTCGAAGTACACGTTTTTCTCGTAAAAGGCACAGACAAAAGATTGCTAAGAAAACTGGTTTTATGCTGCCATTTCTTCAAGATGGCGGCGCGAGTGGCGCTCGTACAAAGGTGTAAAATAGAAATCAAAAAGCACACATCAAAATCTACAAAATTGCCTCAAAAATCCCGGAAAACATTACAGATAGAAGAAAATGTGGAGTGTTTTAAAAAAAATGTGGTTAGAGTGTGAATAGTGATTTATTAACATGAGTAAATCAAATTGTACTTAATAAAAAATATGAATCTTGAATGTAAAACGTAAGGCAATTTAACCAAAATCCATTCATTAATTCTATTTTAGAATACTGTATGATATATTATTATTACCGTGCCATGGCTATGATAGCTTCCAAACAGTAGTAGTCTAATCTGTGGCAAACGTGGGTATGTCACCCATACATGTTTGCCCACTATACTATAACAAAAAAAAATCGTAGAAGTGATCGATTCTCAAAGTACTACGAAACAATGAAAGTTATGCAATCTTATGAAAGTTATCAAGATTCTGCCAAATAGAAGAAAACCGTCGACAAATTCTAATCCATTAACTTGCAAATCGTAGGCAAACGTGCCGAGTTGGTCAATATTATATTAATTAATTATGTATAATTCAATGATGTTTAGTTGAGTACAATTGAGTGACTTAGTTTGTCTTGGAGTTGCAGATTGGGTTCAGTGTGCACGGGCCGGGATGTGGGGTGCCAGCTCGCTTCATCTTCATGCTGCCCTACTTCTCTTGGATCAACTCGGTCACGCCCGTCGTGAGTGCCAGGCGAAGCAGCAACGATATAAAAGAAGAACATATTCATGGAATCAAATCGTACGTACCTCTATGAATACACGAACGTACAGGAACCTAACGGGTAACCGGGGCTCCGGCTCGACGTGCAGGAGAAGGAACGGGGTAGTTTTTAGTCAGTAGCAGTCTGACACTCCCTCCCTCACCCAGGCGGGAGCAGACATTCGATGATTTCTCCCCTTAAAAAAAAATAGTATATAAATTTTTAGCGAATCGTCCTACTCCAGAGCCTGGCCTGAGTCGTAGGCTATAAAAGACGGCGCGCGCTTGGAAGCGGGTTCACTCAATTTTCGGTCGGCAAAGGTTGCACATCGTTACCCTTTGTTGTATTCTTTTATTTAGTCGGTACATTGTTATTTTTGCTATTCGATTTATAGTCTTGCAGTAATAAGAGTTCGGCGACATAATTTAAATTTATTTTGTTTGTGTTTACGATTGATTGTTAATTAGATAATTTAGGGAGTACCTAAATGTGCATTATATTTTTATTAAAACTGTCCTCACTTCTTAGAATATATGTACGGGTGTTTCGCGCATGGACCGACACATTTTTTTCAGGGATAACGTATCAATACATATGGCTGATAAAAGTTACTTTTTCTTTTTAGTTGTTATCATTTGTAAGTCGACTTCCTCCAAAACCAAACCACCAAATCCCTGAAAAATTCTGTCGGTGCATACGCCAACACCCTATACATACAACAGGTTGGGGTTGACATATCCTTAATGGATGAAAACCCCAATACATTTATAAATAAGTAAATAACGATTAAAAAAAAACAATTACATTTATTCATGTATGTATATCTCCGAAATATATTATTTTATTGTTAAATAAAATCACTGGTTGCCTCATGCACCTACCATTTACTCTTCTCTGCATCACCCAAAGGTCAGACTGGTAGAAAATGGATGCGGCATTAAGTCCACCTTTTTGTACATTTTGTGCATGAAGCATATTAAATAAAAAAAAAACGATATATTTAAAATTGAAACCCGTTTCCCGTTGTCTCGCCATAACTTGAGAATGGTTGGACCGATTTGGCTGTTTTTTTGTTGTGTTTGTTATTGTCAGGAGAAAGTTCTTATGATAGAAAAAAAATCCTGAATATCTTATGGGTACTGGAGAAAACAGGATTGCGCGTACGAAGTCGCGGGCAGAAGCTAGTTACTTAATATAATTTTATTTTTACAGAGTCATGAACCCTCGCTCACGATTATCAAGTGTCTTCGTCTTTCGACACGACTATCTCAGTTGGCCAGACTATCAAGAAGCTACAAAATTGAAATATTTTACCATCGAACCTTCCTACGATGACAAACATGCGATCGCTATATACCCATGTAAGTTTTCATGCTTTATTTGACAGAGCTTGCGTGCCTGTAAGCAAATCTTTTTTACCAAACGTAGCATAGTACATTTTTGACTTTTAACTGTATGTTAGAGCTGTATGTGAAGCTGAACCATCAACTGTGACTGGTGACTCTAAATGAGGCCTTCTAACAGGTAACGTAGTTCGTATACTTCGCAGTCCCTCCCTACTATGACTCATTTTGAACCGAGTGCAAAAAAAGGATGTTATCATTTTGACCTTTGTGAATGAATGAATGAATGAATGAATGAATGAATGAATGAATGAATGAATGAATGAATGAATAAATGAATGAATGAATGCATAATGAATGAATGAATGAATGAATGAATAATGAATGAATGTATGTATGTATGTTAGTGCGCGATTATCTCGTGATAGACGGAACCGATTTTGATGCGGTTCTCGGAAAAGTGTTTGTTACGAATAGAAGATGAATTTTGTACCTATATCAATTAACATAGATTTCAAAAAAAGAGGGGGTTGAAGTCGGTTTTTGTAGACGTAGTTTAAAAAAGAAGTATTAAAATTATTATTATTCAATCTTCATACGTTTATGTTTGATGCGACAACTCGTACAACTTGCTTGCTTGGTCCTTCGAACTTTCCCCACCTTATGGAAATGTATGACACAAAAACAAACGTTCCCTCTTAATATTAGTTTAGAAAAGTAATAGGTTAACGTATAATAATTGGGATGATGCCAGGGAATGAAAATTAAAAATCTATTCGTTGTAGTCATTTCTATGTAGGTACAAATAAAATGTACATAGAAGTGACGTCACACGACATTTCAAATCAATATATCGTCGAAAGTATTTGTTTCTGTAAGAAAATAAAAAATACGTGTCTAATGATTTAAAATAATCTACCAGACGGACATTAAAATAAAAATTAGACATGTACACTATTGTGTAAAGCCAATGTTGCCAGGTTGTACCAATTAATCAGCAGCGCCGCACGCCGTTCTACATATAAATGTTACATTGGTTGCAGTCCAAACGACGCAGGAGATGTACCACAATGCGTGCCGCTCGAGACGAGTGCTCATATACAAGGAGCAGTTCGAGTTGGTTACCGGGCCTACCGACACTGGTACCGTCACATACAAGGTAAGTAGATATGCCACACTCACTCGACAGACGCACGCGGGTACTTGTGT